TAAACAAATAAATTAATTTTAGTTTTTACTTTGTATGAGTGAAAAAATGTGCCATATTAAGGGAAGAGTAGAGGCTAAGGATTTTCGAGAGAAAAGAGCCAGGAATATTTAAATTAATGAGGGAGATTCCAAGAAAATGCTGAAGAAAACTTCTTAAACGTTTCGGAGATAGAGTCCCATCTCCGAAACGTCGTTTTACGTTTTATATTTACTAGACGATGGATAATATCCAAGAAAATTTTTATTCAATTGATTCTTAATGAGTACCTTCATAATTATTAAGCTTCACCAAATAATACAACATCCACCCTTAAATATCCTAATTAGTCTGTTACATGTAATTTGAATAATCGTTGTTATGAATTTTTAGTTAATATAGACCTAAATGAATAATACAATTTACGGCAGAAATAATTAATCTATTTCAAAGTGACAACGTTTTTTTTAAAACGAACAAATTACATTATTTAACAAAACAACAACATTCCTTTCTCATATGTTAATGACATTTTATTTCACTGTTTCACTTTTAGAAAATTAAGTCTTGAGTGAGAACCATTACGTTGAATATGTTAGTGTACACGGAGAAGCTACTTGACACTTTCTAAATCGTATGTTATCCATTTCATCTCGGATTATTGTTTTAAGCTCATTCAAGTTCTCTGGTGGGCTGCCGAGCACATTGCCTCTTTCGTATCGCCAAAGGAGAAAAAAATAGAGAGGTCTGACGAGCGAGAAGGCCAGAGCACATCACCATAACGATAAATCAGTCGTTGCGGAAACAATAAACAAAGTACAGCCATTGAAATTCTTGCTGTGTGAGCGGTAACACCAACTTGCTGAAACTACACATGTTCATGCCCTTGTAACATTTCTAAGCGTGGTGTAATAAATGTTTTTGTAGCGTAAATGTTACAGTTTATCCATAATGATTTTTAAAGATATAAGATCCAATGATTCCTACAGCTGATATCCTACATAACATTGCCACTTTTAAGTAGTGAAGTAATGAAGTCCATGAGGGTTATGAGCACAGCAGTGTCTAAAATTTTGTTGATTAACAGTTCCATTGAAGTTTAAATGTTCCTCATCAGTCATTAACAGAAGTAGGTTTGGATTGCCAGTTAAAAATTCCATGTGTTGATGACAACATTGTAAACTAATTTCCTTGTCACCTGCATTGAGCTGTTGCACAATCTGACACTTGTAATGTTGCAAGTTCAAGTTACACTTCTGTCAGACATTCCTAAAGATATAAAATGGATGTGTTGCAAAGATTCCAACATTCAAGGAATGTTCTTAGGCTTAAGAACAGACCGAGGACGGCCAGGTGGTTTCTTATTTGTCACAGACCATTCTCCACGCCATTGTTTTATCTATGGACTAATTGCCTTGCGAGATAAAGTTTCCCGTTGAATAGGCTCTCGTCGAAATCGTTGTTGCGAATTTTTATCGAACCTTTTTAACAAACAGCTTCATGCCGCATTATATTTCCATGACAACGAATAAAATAGGAAACAAAATTAATTTTATTTTGGTACCAACAAATAGATTTAAATTATGATATTTTTACAGATTAATGGTTGAATGCAGATATAAACTGGCTCGTATTATTCTCAAAACGTAAAGCCCCAAGTTCGTACTTTTACCAATATATCATACTGGAATAATAAGAACACACAATCAATCTGAAATAAATCGTCAAAGTTTTTGTAATGAACGCATTGGATATATGTTTTGTAATGATAATTTGTGTTTAAATAATATTTTGTAATATTATTGTAATATTTCTGGCTGTTCTTTCCTGAAACGTGACAAAACACATATTATGGCCACTTTCTAACACAAAGAATCCACTCTCACTAACAATTGATACGCTTCCGTTGGAAACGGCGAGAAGAAGACCAACAGAACATCAGAGACCCTCCCCCCCTTCCTTGTCCATATTACTCGGCCTAGTATATATAAAGAAAGTAGAACGGACCGAAATATCAGTTCGCTTGCTTTTATTTCTGATATCGAAGCAGGACACTTTACGAATCAAGAAATGACTCATCTGAAGGTAAGTCCTCTTACAGAGATTTTTAAATTGTCAGAATTATAGTTAACATCCATGGTTAAGAATATTTGTATATCGCATAACGTCGAAAGAACAAAATTTAGATTCTATTCTAAAAGAAAGAAAAAATAATTTCGTTCGTTAAAGGAGTGTAAAAATATAGACGATTCACTTGTTAATTAAAAATACAGAATTGTATGTTAAACGTGACAGTTGTGTAATGCAAATAAGCGTAGTAAGCACTGGTTAGGAGTGAATTATTTTAAACTAAGAGTTTTAATTAATAGTACAGCGTGCAATGTTATATATATTTTAGTAAAAAATATATAATCCAAGTAAGGGCAATAATATTATATAAGTCTGGCTTTAATTTTGATGTTAGTAATTAAAAATCTCAGATAAAACTATTTATGGACTCAGAATCGATACACAACTTCATATCGATTCGTATCTCCAAAGCTTATAAAGTGAATAATTTCGACAATTAGTTTCAATATATTTTACTGGTCTGTGGTATCAAATAAATTTATGTAATTTATCTAATTTCGTATTTTAATGACATTTCTGCACACCGGCATCCCAAAAACAAGTAGCAGTACAAGTTAAATAATGGAAATTATCGTTATGTTGTTGACAAAGCATAAAGGAATTTTGTACTCCCAGATTTTATAAGATATGTTTATAAAATTTAAACAAATAGCTGCATACAGATTTTTATATGTGAAAACAAATTAAATCATGCCACGGTGTGCACAAATCTTCCAAAAACGATCCCTTCTGTTTGCGCTGGGAATGCTACCCATCATTCCCTTTAGTCGCTTTCTTTTATCTTTCGGCTTCATATCTAAAGCGTAGAACTTATTCTGTTGTTTCGTATTGGCGTAAAACTCGGTTTTATCATGCCAACGGAAGTGCTGAGTATAATAAGAGCGAATAATTGACGGGGAATAGACAAAATTATATAATGAGGAGACGGGTTAATTTAGTCTTCAACAAACAGTAATGCGATGATCACATACAGAATGGTCCAATTGTCCAATTTACCGATTTTAATGCTTTTTCATTTAAATGATTAGGCATAAAAATCTTATTCAAATCAGCATCTCAAGCAATTTATATTACAAAGTTTACAAATATTGTTGTTAAAGACCTGCCACTTCGAGAGTAATCGTCCAAAACTTATTTAATCCTGCCAAATTTCTTAACAAGTTTTGAAATTGTGTGCCTTTCCGACTTTGACGACGAACTTTACTTGAAGCGCTCGTCTGCCCTTTTTGGGCTTTCAGATGAAGAAATGTACTCTTCCACGATAAAAATTATATTGTAAAATATCGAAATATAATTAAAGATGAACAAATGGCATGAAAACTACGGTGTATTATAATCACTCGTTTCGGGGAAAAATCCTGCAAATGTGGATGAAACTGGCGGGACTTGCAGCATTCGACAGATTGAAAATGCACAGAACAGTTTAGTCAGAGAATCTGATGGAAAGAGACCACTTCTGAAACGGAGAATTGATAGGAGGATAATATTAAAATGTATTTATGTGGACAGGAACTATGTGGCTCAAAACAGTATCCAGTTAAGGGATTTTGTGAACACGGTAATGAAGCATTGAGTTCCTTATAAGATAAATGATTTCTTGTCCAACTATGGGACAATCAGGTTTTTCCGATAGGTGCTGGTGAACGAAGTTCTCTCTCTTCTAATTTGTGATCCCTGTTTGGAACTGCATCAACCCAGGTGTTAAGCGTCCATGTTAATTGTATTAGCGCAGCTAACACTTCGAAAAATAAAAGAAAATCTTACGTCTTATTCGAGGAGAGAGAGAGCTTCAGCTAGTCACTTAACAAAGCCTGACTGATTAGAAGTGGCGGAAAGAAAATTTTCTGATCGGTTACGCTGTGTTCTAATATATGGAGTACCACTGCGACACTTACAACTTGTTTAATTTTTCGCTTTTTAAAGTATTAGCCGAGCGAATACAGCTAACACAACTGTTCGACCCCCAGGACCAACGTCACTTAACATGTAACACTAAATAAACTATCATGGTGTCCAACCAGAGGGTATGAATTCTGTGTATTAACCGTAAAACTTGAACAGGTTTTAATTAACCTTCATTACATCCCGTTATGACACTTAATGGCCCTGCCTCAGTTCTACCAACTGTTTTTCCACATTTATCAAAGCAGACAAACTTTCAGTTTTGGTGCCGTGTTTGATTGCTTTTCCGCCCTTGCAGACAGCCTGCGTCGTTCTCCTGGTGGGTCTGGCGGCAGTTTGCGCCTACCCGTATCCAGGTTACGAGGAGGGGGTCATAGAAGGTCACGGACTGTCATTGGAAGGCCATGGACTGGCGCTGGAAGGGGCAGGTGGCCTTGAAGGTCACGCAGTTGTCGACTACAGCGGACACGGAGGCGAAACGGAACATGACGTCGAATATTACGTAAGTTTATTGATTTTATTTTATTTCGAGATGAATCATTATCTGTACATGTGGGAAAGTTTATAGGAACGAGCCAGACGTCCTCTAAATCAACAGGTAAAGTAACAGTTTACAAGAAGTTTCCTTCAAGAAATTAACAGTTCACAATTAAGTAGAGTTTTGTAATTACTGATGCGAGAACATTTGCACTTTACAATAAAGGAAGAAATAGAATGATAAAGATATTATTTTAACATAAAAGTTAGAAAGTAACACGAGGTTGGGGAAAAGTTATAATGATAAGCTTAAAAATTTTGATTTGTTCCAAGAAAGCCATCCATGTCTGAGGAGAACCTATGTTCTATTTCGTAACATCCTAGTTAACCCTGTAATGTATAAAGTATCTCGCCCATGTCCAAATCTGGGCGACGCCTAATGTCGACTGTCCGCGAGTGCTTCTTCAGTAAATTAGCAGCTACCCTCCACAATTAGAGACCGTCTCCTCCAGCCACAACCTGAAGACGTATCACGCTGTGATGACACTCAACGTGTTAATGGTTGTTAAGTTTCTGTAAATGCCTTTTGTGTGGTAGGATCACCCGAAGTATAGTTTCAAGTACTCTGTTAACGACTACCACACTGGGGACATCAAAAGTCAACAAGAGGAGCGCGACGGAGACGTCGTCAAGGGACAGTACAGTCTCGTCGAACCAGATGGCTCTGTCCGCACAGTGGACTACACCGCAGATAAACACAATGGCTTCAACGCTGTGGTCACGAAGTCTGGCCACAGCGTACATACTGGCGGACACGGATACGGACATTTCTAAAGCAAAGTAATGAGTAAGTTTTAAACGAAGATTTGTATTTGTTAAAACTTCATGTGAATCAAAATTATAATATGAATACAAATAAATTCTAGAAAAAAATTTGTGTGACTTAAAACTCTATATACTGTAATAAATCAAAGTTACATCCGCGGAGTTTTTGAGATCATACTAACCATACTCGGATAGTACTAGTTCAGAATGCATTGTCGTTTCGTCTGATATATAAAATGCACAAAATTATAATTTTACCTCTTATTTGGTCTCTGTCGTAAGGGAAGTACATATTTGAGATCACGGTGCTGAGAGTATTTTATCAAAGATGGTGGAAGTAACAGGACGACTGGGAATAATGTATAATGATAAATTTCATACTAGTAACAATGCCCGTAAGTCTAAGGTATGACCGTTTGTACACTCAGACCGTGGTTTCTAATCCCGTCAGTGTCTTTCAGTGTTGCGCTGTATAAGGATTCGTACAAATATCTAAAAGGATAGATAATTTTGAAAGTCATTCTGAATTAGAACAGATCATAAGGCCTGCATATAAATGCTGAAAAAGTGGAGAAAATATTCATAACTTCTATTGCTCGACATTATTCAGGAAATAAAATCATGTGTATAAAGACATGTAGGACGCATGAGACAGGTGAGGAAATACATATAAAATTTAAGTCGGATAATCTAAAGGAAATCAAACACTGGGTAACTTACATATTTTGAAGTGTAATAATAAAATCTATATAAAACAGTGTGCGAGACTGTTAACTGGATTCAACTGCCTCAGGCTCTTGTAAAGTTTGAAATTAAATTTCGGATTCAATAAAGGGCGCGGGAGGATACTTCTTGACTAAATGAGCAATTACAAGCTTCTGGAAAAAAACTAAGTTGCACTTAGTTGCTTTGTTTAAGGTGTTCAAGAATTGAACAATTCATGCATATTTAAATATACAAAATGTCACAACAAAGAAGATGTCACTTCGGACGTTTATTGCCGTAAATAATTTAATTCACAGAAGTCTCATTTATTTATAAACAGTTCACATGGAAACTTTTGCCTTGCACAGTATGATACAATTATTATTCTAAATAATATCCTGAAATTTCCATTCGCAGAATATTTGGACTGGTGGCACAGGTGACGGTCAGGGATCACTCAGGAGAAGATGCACCGTTTCGTTGATTCAGTTCCGGGTTTGGCAAACAAATGAGTTAGCGACATCCTAAAGTACGAGATGACGTAACAACAACTGAATTTAGTTGAATATTTGACACTCTGTAAAAATTTTCTCTGGTGAAGTAGCGACAACCGTGAAGATACATAAATTAAACATCTTTCTAAGGGTACGAGGCTGGTAATAACCGTAACATGGATTTATGTAAATTTGACATCTTGTAAGTATAAACGTGTAGCAATGGCTTGTTTCATACTGGCCTTAATTTTGAGTACCGTCCACAATTTTCGTAACTTTTAAACCCAAAGTATCGCTACCGATTCCGTGAGCGAGCTGTGTCACTAACAAACAAACAAACAACTAGCCCTTCTAATATTCGTATTATTTATTTCAGAATTTGATGTGTAAATGTCTCAAGATACCCAACTTACAAACACCAAACTCTTCTAATATTAACGCTTTTGGAACTTGATTGTCCCAATTATATAACCACTTTAGCCATTTTATATACATTCAAGGAAGATTTCAAACTTATCGAAAATAAATAAAAGCAAAAGTATTCTTTAATTTCGCAAGAAAATAATTAAGATGGCTGAAATGTACTAATGAATTTATGACTTTAGTTCATAATTGTTATTTGTAATGTTTTATATTTCGCATTTCTCTAGTCTTAAATAAATCAAATGTATTTAATAACGTTAATAAATAATGTTTATCAACTTTGCATTGTTACTGAATTGTGTAGGTCTGTTTATTATTAATCCACTTCTCAATTTATCTTCTTTGTTTACTAAAATAAGTATATTTATAAAATTAAATGTTTTAAGTTTTGTCTTCATGTGATTCCAAACGAATATTCACATATGTGAAAACAACTAATAAACTATCTTTGTTATATTTTGCTTTTTGCAACGTTTTCATAAGATGCAATAACGTCTAACGAACTTTATTCTGCGAGCCTGGTACACATTCACTTCCTAAATGTTACCTGTCATCATTATCACCTCAGAATTGCAGAACATATTCATATGTGTGCCTTCCGTTTTTAACTTCAATACGAGTGGTACTTCATATACCTACGTGTTTCAGCTGCACTTAAAATACTGAAAGTTTTAAGGGATAATGTTTAACTTATATATTAGGGTTTCTAGATACGTTTACTCCGAAACTTTTATAACAACCTACAAGAATACACGACGTTACAATTCAAAACACCACAATAATAAATGCTCTGTATATGAAAATTTGACAAACAGCAATCAGAAATCTTCAATGTCTTTATTGTCACCACTACTTGTGTTCTCGTAAACCCTTATTTTGGCCTGGAGTGCGATTAAATAACTCATTTCATAACTTTTTTCTTCCTAATATCGTTTTAAAAGCAATAACTTTATTTTGTAAAACTGCCTATTAAAAGAAAATCGAAAAATGTCGAGATATATGACCATAATCACCACCATCATCATCATCGATATGTGTCAAATGGGTTAGTCACGGACAGTATCAGTAATATCAGATTCTTAAAACAGCGTATTACAAGTTAGATTTACATGTTACGACTCTCACAGCCTACTTGACATATTTCTTTTGGAAAATTAGCAGTCATAATTTCCTGAAAATAAAATGACTTTTTTTTTTACTTTTCGGGCAGTAATGATAAAAATAAGTCACGAGAAAGAAATAAATGTCGTAAAATAAGTATGGCTGTACGTGCAGTTTCACTCATTAAAGCGTCGCTTAAAATTCTAAGATCAAAATGTCCCAGACCTATGGCCATGTTCACCGTAAGTTAGCGATTCGCTGGCCGAGAATTCATAAACGGGAACTCTTACAAACACCGCTACAGTTTATTAAAAAAGCTGTTGACTTATACATACTCTAAATAGTTCACATATTACGCAACAATTTTCTTTACAAACTACGTCATTAGTTAGATATTTGACACACTGTTTTTGAATAATTAATCTTCTATTATCAGATTTAATTTCTGTTGTTGCTATTTCATCATCATCATCAAACAGTCAAGGAGTTAGGTCATACTGACCCGTTGCGTTTCGTCAATCCAAGTTTTCGCTCGTAAAACGTATCTTAGTTCTTGATTTGACTTCTTCATTAAACTGAACAGATGCTCACAGCGATAGGTTTTGTCAAATACCGACGTTAACAAAGCGCGCTTTCTGATATCATGTAACTATTTTTATCCTAAACAGCCACACAATGTTACAATAAGTATGCTCGGGGCACACGAATCAAAACTGTGGGCCGCGGGTTGAGAACCCCACTTCTAGACCTACCCAGGGCAGAAGAATTGTCATATCCACAAGTAAAATTGCGAATATTTTTCCTGAGATTATATTCATATTTACATTCTATAAGACAACAGTGGTTTAAGTTTTCTCATGCAACTGTTGAAATAAAGGATTGTAAAATGTAAAATATGGAACAGGAGAACAGTATATAAAACCCACGGCAGTTTCCGATCAGCTAGAAAAATAAGATTAATCCTGTAAAACAATAGATTTATAAGATCTTAAAAATAACCTGAATAGTTCTACTTTTAAGCTGACAGTCGCTTAGCTACACCTTTACGGAAATCAAGGATTCATTACTGTGTGTACAACATCTCACCACTGGACTGCATCCTGACCCAATCGAATCCTTACCCCCGAACCCGGTCGTTTCTTTAAGATCAAATTTCCGAATATTATTTTTCCATTTAGGGCTGTCCCTCACAATTGGAGTCTTTCGTTCGGCATTTCCCATTCTAAGTGCGTCTAAAGAACATCAACTGCGTGCGTGACCATCGGCTCAAGATGATTCTCCTGAGAAAGCAGTAAAGTTGTGATAATTGTTTTAATAATGACAACGCGCCGACTAATTATGACATGCTATTTTGACGTCGATACGAAAAGGGAAAGTGGAATGAAAAGAATTATTTCTACCGGAAGCGTGTTTCCCAGGAACTTCGGTCAATAGTTCGGCTTTCTCTGTTAAAACTTTGTATGTAACTATGCAGAAGGTCCATTGTTTTCATCTGATGTGAGATTTCACTATTTCAAAACACCAACATGTGTGAGAGAAATCTTGCTCTCTTTCTGTCCCAACAATTCTATTGCTATTATGACTCCTTATCACGTTAATTATAATTATTCTACTTCAGGAATATAATGTTTAGTTCTTGATTTTGCACCATCATTGTTTTGTGTTTATTTCGACACTCTTTGCGGTAATAATGTAGCGTTTTACACAAGATTCGGATAAATAAATGGGAACAAAACGTCATTTTCGTGATGTTAAAACGACCGCAAAGTTTGTTTACTTGCATTCAGAAAACGAAATTGCAACTGAATCCCATTTCTTAAATTCAGTTTCAAATCAAAGAGGATGAGATGGGCAGAGCATATAGTAAGCATAGGAGAGGTGATACGAGTATACAAAGTCTAGTAAACCTTGAACATTTTAATATACAGGAGAAGATGGTATAATTATATTAAAATGTGTCTGAAACAATACGTTTTGAAGATGTGGACTGGCTTTATCTGGGATACAGTGGCGGTCTCTTGAAAATACTGAAGACGATTAGACTTCCTTAAAAGGCAAATATTTTCTTAACGTCTTTTTTCAATAGAATGAGGTATTTAATAGACAATTATCATACAAGCTGAAATGCGTGTTATAAACATGAATTTATGAAGCTATGTTTTAACGAGCAACTGCATGCACTTTTTACCGAATTTACAGAACTTAATACAATTTCACGTCTCTGCTTGCAGCATGGGGTATGGTAGGTTAACAACGGTTTAATTTGAACTACAGCTGTGCGTAGGGCAGAAGCATCAACCACAATTACAAAAGATAATTGTCTTTTGGAATGTTGCGCCGTGTAGTCTGCTAGAAGTTACCGACGTCCTTGTTCCCTCCATCATTAATGCCCTGATTACGGAGGCACAAACTCATCTAAAACGTCGGCAATATTCTACTGGACTACAAGGACTACACCGCGTAACATTAAAGAAGATGCATCGAAATCTCACCACAGCTACAGAAGCTAAAAAAATGTGTTAGACATGCATCTGCGGCAAAAATCCAGTCACGCATCTAAAGTCAAGAACATTTTATTCCATAACAGTGGATGTAATACTAGAAATTTGTTTCGTAGGCTATTAAGCAACGTTTTGTCAACTGCAGAGATCGTTTATGGTCAAATGTCAAGATAAAATTAATATACATGGAGGAGATTATAATGAAAAATAAACGTTTGTGGCCAGTACCAAAGATATTTTCGGGCGTCTGCCTGTAGATACAGACGATCTGCGACAAATCTAACGTCATTAAGGCCGATGCTACGACTAATCTAAGGACAGCGTGTGTCACGAACAAAGTTCTACTGCATTAACTTATTCACTTCAAACTTTACTAGGGGAGACAATTTCCTTACTTGCAGAAGTAGGCGTATATTTCATGGGATGTATTAATTTCGATACTAAATTCGGTATTACTGCTTTTTTTACTTTGTTCAATATTCTAAAAACAAAGCCACTACGTTTCGGTAGTTGAATCTGCTCTCGTCCTCAGGTGAAACAACCTATTATGTTGGGTCCAATATAAGGGGCAGATCTTAGTCTCTGGATGATAAAGTCCAGAGAAACATTAATATTGAATGCAACGCGCCATATTTAGAAATAGACAAATAGATTTTATTAAATCCTGGCGGTTAGTGTCAAAACTCTGCAATAAACTTTAAAATTCTGGTGAAATCTTATAGTTTAGAGCTTTGAAATGCCAATCAAATATAGATAAGACTATAAGTCCTAAATAAATGTGAATAAAACAAAAATATGTGTACTTAAAGTAACAGACGAAAAACAGTTGAGAAGTTCATAAACTTCTTCTTATTCGGGAGATACACGATTTCATTATTTATTCACATACATATCTAGTTTCTTTTAGGATACCTGAATATTAACTTTAAAATATGCCATTACATCTTCCTTTAATACTATTCTGATTTAACATTCGTCGTCAAAATTACTCTGAGATAATTTGACTTATCTTACGCAATTTACGCAGTCAAATGAAGAAACAAGAAAGTGGAACAGAATTCCTTCCATGCTGCTTTCACTAATGATAGGAATTGTGTTTGAAATATGTGACAGGGCTACTTGTTCAGAGCTTGAATTTCTTTTCGAGGAATTTCAAAGCAGTGAATGCATATCAACCGACTGTGTCCAGACCATCAGGGACACGCAGATGTCCCTAGTTTCCTTGCAACTATTGGCATTGCTGTAACTGGGTTATTCAATTCAAATTCTTATTACGGGCATAGCAACCAGAAGGCCAACTACAAATGAAGCACGAGAGAATAACAACAGTTTATCGCGATACTATATGAATGAAGAGAAAATTAGTATACATAGACAACTTGCTATCTATATCTGCATAATAGTGGTTAAATTAAATGAAATCAATTAGGATACAAGGAGAAAAAATCAAACAAACAAGGTAATGAATCAGAGAATTTATATAATTAGAATTATAACAAGGTGAATAGAGGAGAAGAGAAAGGAAAACATTTTATATAATTTTGTACTGAATGTAATTAATATCTAACACATGGATATCAACACAGTTAATGCAATATGTGATTAAGGAAAACGAATTTTGTTTCAAATATATTAAAGTCCCTGCAGACAACGTTAGCAGCTAATGCGCATCTAGGA